GTGCCCCATCCTCATGGACCCTCTCCCGTCCCCTGGGTGCTCTGGCTCTTTCCCTGAGGGAAGCTCTCACTCCTGTGTGCTGAGCTTTAAGCTGATCTGTGGCTTTGAAGGAAAGCTGAGATCCTAAAGGATTTCATCCATTGGTCTGGGGGCTCCTGAAGGGTGGGCTGGGGTAGCTGCAGGTCTGGGGGAGCCCAGGGGTACACAGGGCCTGGCAGGTACCCAGGGTCACTGCAGATCCAGCCCTGGGGAAGCTCAGGCTGCCTGGAAAAAAAAAAAATTCTCCCTTCTGGTGCCACCAACCACCCAGAGCTGAGCCCACCAGCTGGAGCTGCCATGGCAGAGGTGTGAGGACACCCCGCTCTGTGCCCTGTGTCACCATCACGGTGACCCAGGACCCCTCCCCAGTGCCCTCCTGCCTGCCCCTGCAGAGCTGACAGGYCTCTGCTGTCCCCTCAGGGATGCCTGCTCCAGCCTGGGCTCTGTGCTCAGCCTGGAGCCCGCGGAGAGTGTCAAATCCTGGCCGAGCTCCTCCACGGGCTGGACATCCCTGGCGAGCGCCAGCGTGGCCGGGAGCATTTCAGCACCGTCCGTGGGCACCCGCAGCACCCAGAGCCTGAGGTAAGGAACCCCCAGCCCATCCTGGGTGTGTTGGGGGGTGCTGAGATGTGGGGGTTTCCTTTGGGGGTCCCTCAGGACTGATCTGTGGTGTTTAAGGTCAAAATATCAAATCAAGTCCCTGCCACACCAGGATCAGTGAAACGCCAGATGAAAGTCACTACATCAAAAACACGCTTCAAGCAGGAAAATATCCCTTGATGTATTCTCTGGAGATAATTTAAAGAGGCAGCACAGCCTATTTGAGGATTTGTATGCCATATGCTCGCTGCTGAGGGAGAGGGAYGCGTTTCTGCGGGTCTAATATCAAATATGTTAATTTTTGATGGTCATGCTGATGCGCTGGGAGAGAGCTGGAGAGGGGCCTGAGCACTTGAACAGCCCAAATGTCCCTTCTTGGCTCTGTGGATGGATTGGTGCCCATCAGAGGGACCCCCAAGGGACACCTTCCATGGACCAGTGATGGGTTGGAGCCTTGGGAGCAGTTGGCTGAGCTCACTGGGACCCTGCACAACAAATAAGGTCCTTCCTAAGTGCTGCTGAGGAGSTTTTGGTCCAAACAACCCAAATCTGATTATTAATGAATGACACAAAAGGAGGCATTGTGGCTGATATCCTATTTCTGAGCTGAAACACCTTGAATYAATAATGAAATATATGCAGGCTTTGAGGCTGGACATYRGGAGGRATTTSCTYATGGAAAGGRTRGTCARGCATTGGAAGGAGCTGCCCAGGGAATCCCYATCCCTGGAGGTGTCCARGGAATGCCTGGAGGTGACAATCAGTGCYCTGGGCTGRTGACAAAGTGGACATTGGYCAYAGGTTGGATTTGATGATCTTGGRGGGCTTTCCCATCCTCAGSGATTCCAGGATTCTGGGGTTTGCAGAATGGCCCTTGTGAAAAGCGAATTGCCCCAATCCCTGGCCCCAGTGTGGCCATCCCCCTCTGCCCTGGGGCTCGTGGAGGCCACAAACTGTAAATTCTGAAGTGGGAGCTGCGTTTGGCTGCAGCTCAGCTAAGATGGAAACAGAGCGAGCAGGGGATGAAATACAAACAAACAGGAGGTAATAAAAATGAGATCAGGCAAACGAGCTCTTCCTTATTAAGATTCCTTTGTCTTACACGAGCACCCAGTAATGAAAAACGAGTCTTGCTCGCGTTGGCTGCTCAGCACCACATCTGGGGGTGTTTGCTGAACAAACAGCTGCCAAGAGCCAGAGGAGAGCGAGCAGCTCTTATCACTCGGGTGCTTACAGGAGGGACAGATTTGATTAACGTTTCCTTTMATTCTCTGCTATTTAAATGCCTGTACAAAGCGCTGGCCAGCAGAGCTAAGCCTCCATAAATATGACACAGCACAGGGTTGGAATAAATACTTTTTTTTTTCTTTTTAAATTAAGAAGCTAATTTAAAAGTTTATATATTTATTCTGCCCCTTTTCTGGGCAGGGTTGTGTTTTGATGGGGGTTTAGTCAGAGGTGCAGTCAGGGAGTGGATTCACAACCAAGGATTTGCCACTTCATCCTGAATTCCACAGGACTGTGGCATCCACAGCTCTGCCATCACCCCAGGATCACCCTGGCAGCAATTCCCCTCCCACCTCGGTGCACAAAACCAGRATCCCTGGTCCCAAGGCTGCTGGGGACCTGACACATTTATTTTTAACCGCAATTGTGTCAAAAGCGAATCATTACGTGGTAAACCRGGAGCTCTCGTGTAGATGACGGTGTGACAAGAAAATCCTCTTCTGACAGAAACCAGGCCAATGTCTCTTCCCTCCCTGAAATGGAGCTGTCTTGGCTTTATTTAGGAACTCCCAGGAAAAGCATCCCAGCCACACTTTGGGCCCTGGTCGTGTGTCGCAAGGCACGTGTGGATTTTATTGTACAAATGATTTCAACTGGTATAATTGTAATCATGCTAATTGCTGTGTAATCTTCGCTAATTATTGTTGTGTGTCATTTGCTTTGGTGTGAATGGCAGATTGCAGAGCTCTGTTTGGCTTCCAGGCGGCGTCAGGCCCTGATTTTGCCTTTTGCTGTGAAAATCATCTTTTCTGAGGATGGTGGAGGAGCAGGGCTATGCTCAGGGCTGGAGCAGGCTCATGGTCCTTCCTCCCATGTCATCACCATCCTTTGGGGCTGTCTGTGACCTCCTGGGGTCATTCCAAGCCCTGGGAATCCTTGCAGGGATTTAGGGATGAGCAGAGGATGCTGTTGTGATGAGGTGTGACCGTCTCACTCTTGTCCTGCCTTGTGAGGAGGAGGAGGAGGATGAGGAAGACTAACTGTGATTTTGGAGCAGGATTTTGAGAACAGTTAAACAAAGAATTCATGGAATGGCTGGGGTGGGAGGGAACCTTCAAAATCATCGAGTACCACCCCCTGCTATGGGCAGCGACACTTTCCACTATCCCAGGGTGCTCCAAACCCCATCCAACCTGGCCTTGGACACTTCCAGGGATGAGGAAGCCACAGCTTCTCTGGCCACCCTGTGCAGGGCCTCAGCACCCTTCCAGGGAAGAATTCTGCCGCAATATCCCATTTAACCCTGTTCTCTGGCAGTTTAATGGGTGCAGAAAATGTGAACTGTTGGGAGAAACAAGGATGGACASGGCAGCATTGGCCTTTGGCTCTTCTGCTGGAAACCAGGGCATGGAGAGTGTGAGATCCCTGCTTGCACTCCGGGGCTGTGTGACCCTTGCCAGCCATGGGGCAAACCCACTTTTGCAGCTTTCCTTCCTTTCAGACCCCAAAAATTGCCATGAAAGCAGAACCTGCCCCTCACRCAGAACAGCACATTAAATACAGCGTGTTCAGCCCTTGTTCACAGCCCATTAGCGGTGCTCACCTCTCCACTCGCTTTTATCTCAGCCTTAAAACCCAAATAAAAACACAGACGCCGGTGTTTAATTTATAAAAGCCATTCATGCAGCGCACGGGTTACAACATAATTTGGAAATGTGTGGAGTGAACGGAGCAATTTCTGTACAAATTCTCGYYGAAGGATTACGCCGGCTATTTGAGYAAGATGCAATTTAGGATCCTAAAAATCCAGCATTATTGAAATGTCTTAAACTATTAATCAGCTGCGGGATGGCCCTGAAGGGTGCAGTGATTCAGGGAGATGAAATCTCCGGTTAATTCCTTTTGTACTGGATAATCAGATGATTCAGGCTGGTTTAATGAGCGGGGAAAAGGCAGTGGGTGCCAGGACAGGGGGGCACCAGGAAGCTGGAGCTGCTCCTTTGCCCCTTCCCTTCTGCAGTCACACATTTCCCAGCTCTGGAGTTTATCTTCAGCCCATCTCRGCGTGTAAATTATTTCACGGGTCAGCAGAGCCTGGCCCGAGCCTGGATTATCCACTCCCACCCCATTCCCATGGCAACAGCAGCATTCCCAGGGCAGGAAGCTTCCTTATGGCCATCAACAATTTGAGCGCTGCTGCCTGCCAGAGATGGGCTGGTTATTTGGGTTCTGCTGCTTTTCTCTGCCTTTTTCCCTCCTTTTTTTTTTTTTTTTCCCAAATTCACATCCCAGCAGGTTTCCCAGTCGGACCAGTCCTGGGTTTGCTCAGCTGAGCAGTGATGTGCAACCTGGGAGTGGGGACACTGCCAGCAAGTGAATGGAAGTGCTTGGAGGGGTTTATAAATTGTCCCATCAGGGTTTTAGTGGCACCAGTGACTCCGAGCCCACTGGTGACTGCAGTTCCTCCATCTCCTGGCTGGCTGGGGTTACTGCTGTGGATCCTCAGGGCTGGAAAAGGTGGACCATTGTCTGGGATGTGGCCCTAAGTGGTCATCCCCCCTCGCTCTGCAGGTCCCCTGCAATTCAGAGCACTTTGAGCAGCAGCCTGGGTGAAACATGCCCAGCAATAACAATGAGTCGTGCCAGGGGTGCGCTGAGAGCTGCTTTCATAAAATTTTAGTGAATAATCTTTGGCCTTGACAGGAATAAAATAAATCCTACATATTGCTGTAATCTGTCAAGAAAAGGGATATTTGGAGGTAAGTGTTGGCTTGGCAGAGCTGAAGCCGGTCACACCACATGCTCTACACCAGGAATTATCCRGGCTGGCTGACCTGGGTTTATTTAAGATAAAATCCTTGGGCATTGCCCAACTGCTGGAAGCAGCAGTGAGTTTATCCCGAGATTCCCATGCCAATGCCAGCTTTTCTCTACTCAGCCTTGTCCTTGCYGAATGACATCCCGCTCCCTGGGAATCCCACAGCCTAAACTAACAGCGATTTCTGTCGTTCAGGGTGAGCAGAGACACCAAGGACTCCGCTCTGAGCCGACCGCTGTCCTCCCGGAGCTCTGCCACWCCCGGCGAGGCTGTGGATCCGGGGAGAACGACGAGCCCGCTGCTGGCGGCTAGAAGACGGGATTATGGAAAACCTCCGGCMGAAGAAGAGGAGCTGGAGAGCCCAAAAAAGCCGGTGGATAGGATCGGAGAGACGTCCCCATCGGCACCGCGGCCGGGCGGCTCCCCAGCTCCGGACGGGCGGTTCCCCAGCGCGATATCTCCGCCGGTGCCCGGCAGGAGAAGGCTCTCGGTGGCCCCGGGGCCGGTGCCCAGCTCGGCCGCTCTCTCCGAGTACGTGGAGGAGCTGCGGAGGCAGCGGGGAGCGGAGCAGGAGCCGGGGCTGCCGGCGCTGGGGGACCCCGCTCCGCTCCCCATTTACCGCACCACCAGCGCCGCGGCTCTGCGGCGCTGCCGGGCTGTGCCGGCGGCCGAGGAGCCCCCGGGGAGGCTGCAGGGGGATCAGGCAGGGGAAGGAGAAGGAGCTGGTGCCAGCCTCACATGCTCCTCCAGCCTGCGGAGCATGGCCTCGGAGCCGGCCGAGCGCCCGCGTTCCCCGGCGCTGAAAAGAGCATCGAAATTCGGCTCCTACGACTCCCTCCTGCCGGCCCTCGACGGCTCTCGATGGCCGAGCTCACCTGCTGCCGGCACGGAGGGGCTGGGGGTGCCCCGGCTGAGCTGGAGGAGCTGCCTGGAGCCGTCGCTGGAGGATGTGGAGCTGGGCAAAGAGCCGGAGGGATTGCTGAGCTCCCTGTCCGGAGAGGGGAAGGGCAGTGACCCCTTCAGCTGGAGAATACCCACCCTCAACTACGAGAGGAAAGCCAAGGTCGACTTCGACGATTTCCTGCCGGCCATCCGCAAGTCCCGCTCCACCAGCAGCCTGGCCAGAGCCCGCAGGGACAGACGCGACGGCCACCGGCCCCTCACCGTGCGCTTCGAGGATGAGGCCATGGCGGGCACTCTGGAGTCCTCTGAGACCAAGGGCACAGCCAAAAGCAGCCCGGCACCTCGGGGAGAGCCCGGGGACCTCTCTGACTCCTCCTCATCGTCCGGCTCTCACCTCTCATCCCGGAGCGCCGACAGCATCAAGCGCCGGCCGCAGACCCCGAGAGGGGACGGGGAAGGTTCCAGCGGCAGAGGCAGCGCCCCGGGCAGTGGGATGAGCCGGCGAGCCGAGGCCGAAGGMAAGGAGGATGATGTCAGCAGCATCATGAAGAAATACCTGGGCAAAGATTAAGGTAACTCGGGTGGCCCAAGCTCAGAGCTGTGGGGACACTTTTGGGGTGTTGGTGCTGAGCTGCTGCACCTCTCTGGTGCCTGTGCTGGTGGCAGGGAGTGTGTGGGGACAGGGTAACCCAGGAGAGCGGGGTCCCTGTGCTCTTTCTGGCATGTCAGAGCATCCCAGCGCTGCCAGGGTGTCCCTCGGGGGGTGTGGCACTGGGACTGGCTCCTCTTTGCCTTTGCACCTTCAGAGCTGTGATGAGCAGTCAGTGGGGACACTGCTGGTGCCAGGGACAGTCCCAGAGCCAGCTCAAAATTCACTGGAGTTTCCCAAAAATAGCATTCCTCAGCTGCCACCCCAGCACCCGACAGACACATCCCCCCCCAGACCCTCGAGCGCTCCCTCCTCAGGGGCCCAAATTCCTTTTGGTGATTAGAAATCAGCTCTGGCTGGACTCTGGGGGTTCCCTCTCTAGAGGACGGGGCTCCCCCTTGCCCAGACATCCTTCCCCAACCATCAACAGCCTCTGACACCCACTTGGGCGCCATGTCTGGATTGCAACTGACACTYGGAGAATTAGGATTTATTGCCGCAATCCAGGTTTGAAAGCAGAGTCCCTAATGAATGCGCCACAACTGTAATTAAGTGTTTAAAATAGATTAGAAAAACATTTTGTAAAACCATCGCCTTTAGAGTAACTTATTGGATGTCAAGCTGTGACCAAATTGACTAAGCCAACACACGAAGGGAGCGCGTGTTAATAAAACATTTTCTTTCCAGGAAGCGAATTTGCATAATGCAACGTCCCACTTTTCTGCAGGATTTGTCTCGATGGAGCTCAGCCGCCGGCCCCAACCCGTGGTGACGAGGAGCCACGTCGGGCACACGGCTTCCCTGCTGCTGCCAGAACCACCTCACRTGGGCAGATGGCTCCATGGAAGCCGTGGGATGGTTCTACAAACTTTTCTGGTCTTGGTTTCCTTACACTCCTGCCCCGCTCCCCAGCGCCGCAGCTTCGCTCAGGGCCAGCCGCGGGGACGAGGATTTTCCTGTTCTCCCGCAGTTGTTTGATGTGGGAGTTGGTGCTTTAATTCAAACCCAGCGGCTGCCACAGATGCTGAGGACGTGCCATGGCTGGGGAAAAGCCACGCTGAGAGCAGCTGGAGGGACACCAAACCCCTCCTGTGTAACCCAGAGCTGCAGCCTGGGTGTTCCATCCCACATGACACTGCTCAAAAATCTCTGAGGATGCTCTTGGGTCTCAGTGTGGCACCCAGCAACAGCAGAGCTTGGAAGATTTTATAATTCCACAGTTATTTGAAGGTGGACCTGGTGTGCTTCCATGGCTCCAGCCTGTGGGGGACATCTGGGCACATCCCAGCGGCACGCAAGGCACGCGGTGTGGGGGCAATGGAGGGGCTCTATTTAATGTCTGCTTGGTTTTTACACAATAAAATATTTGCTTCTTTGACACGCAGGTCCCTTCTTGTCATTCCTTTCCCCACACTGGGAGCAGACCTGTGGAAGTGGTGGGGTGCAGAGCCGAGCCTGTCCTTCCACAATGCACAAAAA